GATTGGCAAGCTTCTGCTGGTTTTGAACTTTATAGTATTTTTATTAGTAATTTGGTATTTGTATATGGCCTTTTAACAAGTCAGTTCATATGTGACATTGATTTGCTGTCATCTTTATTATTATTCAGAAAGCAAGCTAGATAATATGATGCTTCTACTTCATTGACAGAATGTCAAAGAATGAGTGCTTTCCCCAGAAAGGTTGGCCAAAACAACTTTGATTTGCCATTAGAAGCACTTTTTTTAAATGTTTTTTTTAAAAGAAAAAGTTGAAATTCTGCTTCCCAAATAAGATGTATATATCTGGTCAAATGTGAAGGAAGCCATAAAAACATAGATAAATTTTTCATAAACTATAAACCTCACTAACTGAATGAAATCTAAATATTTGTTCCTGTAGAATGCATTAGAAAATGAGTACAGAGATGAGGAAAAATTATTCCCCATCTTCTAAGTTACACCATGTCCCAGGCTCACTTTATGTATTCTTTATATTCTTCTCTTGATCTTTTGGTTTATTTTGCCTCTCTTCTCATTGCTTTTCTTCTGGCTTAAACCATTTTGAGTCATGAACATTTTTGGCTTTGTCCTGATGAACTGTATAGTTTTGCTCAGCACTTTTTTGGGTTATCTCTGGAGAAAAAAGGAGACAATTGATGATAATATTTATTGTATTTTAATAAAATTGTATTTCCTTATTTAATACATGAGACAAATTATTTACAAAATATTCAAACAGTATTTAAATAGATTATACATAATGTTATATTAAAGAGTAGATACATACAACAAAATTTTATTCTGCATTAACAAATGTTGCATATACATATCTTTCTCCTTCTTGTTATTTGTTTTTATTTATGTATATCTTCATTAGATTTTTTTGGAAATAAGAAGGGTTTAGTATTTATGGAATAGGTTAATTTTAGAGGATAACGATTACTTCCATTTGAAAGTCTGAATGTATTTAAATATATAAGATCTTTGGCTATAAACCAAATAGAGAAATTATAGCCAATTGCTTTCTGGCACCAAATGTATATTGTTTTTCTGAACAAGTTTCACAGAATAAATCTAATTGTTAACTGTGGATGAAGTATATTGGCAAACATATTCCATACTGAAAAGGTTTTTTGTGATTCGTTTTTAAATGCATATTTTTGTTTCACTTAATATAGCCTTTAAAGTCAAATAAATAATTTAAGTAATGTAAACCTTCTTACTAATGAAACAAATTGCGTGTTTTTATTTCAAACCAATGACTATGCTTATGTATTTTAAAGTATTAGATTATGTTATTAGCACAACTAAAAGTCAACAGTTCAAGGTCATAAAATATCTTAAATTCCCTTGAGGAAAAGAAACCATAAACATGTGACAGGCTCTATACTAAAAATAGTTGAAGGACAAAGGTTGGAAATGTACAATACATTTTAAAATGAATATGAAATATACTGTGAGTACAGAACTGTTCAGAAGAGAAAGGGTATTGCTTGTCTTCACCAAGGAAATCTTTATGAATGATAAAGAATTCGGCCTGTAGTTTGAAGGATTTTTAAGATTATGAGAGGAAATTTGAAGTAGTAAAGTTGATTTGAAGGAAATTGAATCTGCAAACAAATATAATGAGCTAGAAAAGGTGAAAAGTACAAAGAGATGGAAACAAAGACGGCTTAGTTCAAATGTGAGATTCCTGTTAATGAACTACAAAGGCTAAGGCAGGGTGAAGCTTAAGCATATTTAATGGTATAAGAGAGTTAAGAGGAATAAATGTGCTTTTAGACCATCCTAATATTTTCACACATAATTTTAAGTGGTGGTAAAAGAGATTAGAAAGATTTACAGTAGCAAATTCAGCCAGTACAGTAAATTGTGGATATTTTATGTAATAGTCTTTTCAACAAATAACATCTGTGATCTATTTATAAAACACATGAAAACGACAATGATTTACAGTAATAGATTTTTATCAGTACAGACTGGTATTCACTAGATAATTACTGAATGGAAATCTAAGTTTAACCAATAGTGTTTTTTAGCAGAGGAAATTGTTACATTGTTACGCTGAACTACTCTTCCTGTTTAGGGTTAAGAAAGACATAAGTTCTATAGTAATGAATTACTCCTATTAAATGTACAGGATTTCTGAAACAGGCCTTTCAATTGCAATTGTCTGTCAGGCTCAGTAAGGTAGAAAATAAATGGCCATATTAGTGAAAATAAGATTCCCAAAATAAAAATAACTTTGAAAGAGAATTTGAGAGACTAAGGAAAAATGAATTTAGAAGTCCATATCTTTGAACATCTAAAGATGGTATTATTTGCATAAAATTCCCAGTAGCTATCAATCACCTATGAACAAAGTCCAAGTTCCTTAGGGCCTGCAAGGGTCAATATGATGAATGCATCCATCCATCTCTCTCTCCTTTCTCACCTATAACCATTTGTTTCTTTCTTAATCAGTTTTGCCATGTAGGGAACTATTTAAGTTGTTAAAAATGTTTTCTTTTTCCTCAGAGTTGTTATGTATGTTACTTAAAATACTACTACCTTTACTAGTTCTTGATAGTAGCTGTCCAGTTCTAAAATCAGTTGAGATCTTCTGCTCTGTATTGTTGTTTATTTATACTCTACCTACCCACCTATATTGTACTTTCTCTGAAGTAGATTTATAATAGATTGATAACGTAAAATGCTGATAGTGGTTAAAACTTTTGATCAGTTTAAGGCACAAACAAAATTATAAAGTTAAAAAGACTTATGCAAGGCATAAATATATACCATCACCATCACCATCTCCTTCCAAGGCGATACTTATTTTACTTGATGAATATATATTGACATGTAAGTATCAGCCACAGTCCACAGTTTACCATGTGTTTCATTTTTTCATTTACATTCTATGAATTGCACAAGTTTTATTTTATCATTAGTAAGTTGTACCAAAGAGTTGCCATTTCACTACACATGTTGTTATTCCAGTGCATCTTAATGTCATTCCTTTCAACATTCTCACCCATCCCTCTCCTACTCACACTTTCCCTGTTCTTAATTTTCTACGATGTACATTGAATTCTTTAACTGCATTCTCTTCTTCTTCTCCTCTTTGTCTACCCCTTAACCTATTGACCCCAAGACACACATTTTAGGAACTCACATCCTGGTGTTTCTTTTGTTGAGACATATTTATTTATCCTCTGTTAACATATTATTCAGAATGATTTCCCTACTCCAAAATTCATCTGTGCCTTGTCTTTTCTTCTTTTCCCAAACTCTGGCTGATTTTGCATCTTTCAGTTGAAATTATCACAGTGGAAATTATATTGTATGTCACCTTCTCCAGTTGTCTTTTTTACTTAGTAAAGTATATTTATGTTCCCTCCTTGTTGTTTTATGTCTGGAAAACATTTCTTTTAAACAATGAACAGTAGTCCATTGTCTGTCTGTGATACATTCTATCTATCTGTACTTTATTGGGGCTATCTTACTTCAAAACTTTGGCAATTAAGATCAAAGCTGCTATAAACATCTGTATGAACATTTTGTGGATAAATTCGGTTTTACAAAGGAAAAGCAAAACATACTCAAGCAAAAATGTTAACATCACACAAACATTTATAAGTTATAGTTTGTAGCAGAATCGAAGACTAGATGTATTCATTTGTGGTGTTCATTCTATTTTTAGTTTACTTAATGAATATTGCTCAGGTGCTACAGGCACTCTAACTAGATGGTAGAAATACTATGCTAGAAATGAAAAACTTTAGGTTTATAGATATGTCTGAATAGGGAGAAAAGAGACACCAAAACAAAAAAAAATCCCAAAGGTAATATGAGAAGTTCCTTTAAATATTATGGAATTGAAATAAATTTCAGATGAAGAAGATAGAAAAGAGCTTCACAAAATGATGACCCAGGAAGTGTGCCTGGGTAGGAGAAGGAGTTTACAGACAAAATGTAAGCGAAGTCAGATACAGACTCAGAAGTTAGAAAGAAATGCAAGAGCAGGCTGGTGTTGTGGGGCATAGTGGGCAGCTGATTTAGAAAAACATGTTGATCAGTGGTGGAAATTTTTTTCTAATCTCAGCTTATAAGTTTAGATGTTTCTTTAATTAATTAATATTCCTGAATCATTTTAAGCCTGTGTGATATGAATGATGATTTCAGAAATATAATTCTATTCCCTGTCTTAAAAATAGAGTGGGTAATAAAGTATTGAGAATCAGCTAATACGGCTAACAGAAAGCTAATAGATACAATGAAGACAACTGATATATTTGGCAAATAGGGATGATGTTAGGAGAAATATTTAAGATGTGTTCAAGAGACTGAATTTATAATTATATCCAATAGTAGTATTACTTTATTTTTTGTCTCTTTTTAAAAGTTTGAATGATTTATTAGTTTCCTAAAAACACTAGGACTACAGATTAGGTGTAAATAGAAAGGCTACAATTTAGATATCATTATAAGTAAAACATGGGTTTCTACAAAAACTCAGCAGAATAAAGGGATATTAAATTACCTTTTTATTGTATCATCTTTATGACTAGTATGTCACATGGAAGGAGAGATTGATATAGATCAAGAAGAGCTAATAAATCTTCCCCAACACTTCTTAAATAATCAATCAGATCTATTGACATAAATTTTTTTTGCTGCATAAGGGTGAATAAAAGAAGGAAGTAGTTAAATCTACATGCAGAAATTCATTAATTGTCTTTAATTAGCAATTTGGTTTTTCCACATGAACAACTTTGCTGGGAAGTTAATGCTCTTTGTAACTGTGGGGGTAACAATTAGCTAATAAGGTCTTTAAGAATTAATTGAGATATTGAGATAACAGATGTAATTTACAAATGGAAATTAAGAAAAAAGCCAGGTGATTTACTATGGTAGCTTCACCAACATGATCAGGAGAACATATTAGACACCATTTGGTTGCTCTTTATTGCCAGTATAATTATGTACTAACATGTGTGTTCCTCAATTACTTTCAGCTATGACAGCGACAGCTGGTGCCCACCATTACCAGTGCAAACTTACTTACACCAGGGTATGGAAGATGAACTGGAAGAAGATGATGACCGAGTCCCAACACCTCCCGTGCGAGGCGTGGCTTCCTCTCCTGCTATCTCCTTTGGGCAGCAGTCTACAGCTACTCTTACGCCATCACCACGGGAGGAGATGCAACCCATTTTGCAGGCACACCTGGATGAGCTGACAAGAGCTTATCAGTTTGATATAGCAAAACAAGCATGGTAAATACCCTCACTAAGTCAAGGGACCTGTGCTTACAATACACGCAAACGTTCCTTTACATGAGTTCACAAGGACTCATTGTCAAAAATATACAAGGATTAAAAATGTCTTTGTATACATCATAATCTTTAATATAAAAGAATAGACTGTAGAATTGACTTTTTAAAAGTCTAATCAAATTCACATATGCAATTATAGGATGACTGGGAGCCAAATTTAGATAGGCTATACCTGAGTTGTTCCTAATTTATGATTTACCTTCAACCAGCTTACCCTTGAACTCACTTTTTTTTTCTTTTTTGTCAGTCATGGGGTTTGAACTCTGGGTCTGGGCACTGTCCCTGTGCTCTTCAGCTTAAGACTAGCGTTCTACCACTTGGGCCACAGCACAACTTCCAGTTTTCTGAGTGGTATATTGGAGATAAGAGTCTCATGGACTTTCGTGCCCAGGCTGGCTTTGAATCTGGATCCTCAGATTGTAGTTTCCTGAGTAGCTAGGATTACAGGTGTGAACTACTGGCCCCTGGCCTTGAACTCATTTTAATGCCATAATAAAGTACTCCTTTTAGATTCTTCAAAGTGCTGTGATTAATTCTGTATATCATTATGAATATGTAAATCTGTTTCTACAGATCACTTACAGACAATGTCAGTTAATAAAATAAATAAAGGGCCTTCTTTGGGTTGAATTAAATGAATCAATATAAACAACAGTAAATGCATCCCAAAGAAGCTCAGGCATAAATTAACAATCCAAGATTCCTTGAATTAATCAATACACATACTTTCAGAAACTGTAGATAGAAATGTACTAAGATGTGAAAGTATGGTAGAAATTAAATGAGATCAATTCTCACAGCTTTATAGTTTTCTTCTTGTTTTTCCCTGATGTAGTAATATATAAGCTTGGACTTTGGTAAATGAAACACTTTTGATCTCTCACTAATTATATTCTGTTGATTTACATTCTGAGCTTGAAGTCATTAAATAAATATTTGCTTGTTTTGATAGTTGTAACTGTGGAAATGAGCTGATAATGAGATAACTAGAATTCACAGTGTTAATCATTACTGTTATTTTTTTGGTTGTACTAGAGTTTGAATTGATGGTATCATGCTTGCTGTGCTAGTATTGTACCATTTGAACCCTACTTCTAGCCTTGGTTTTTGCTCATTATTTTGGATATAGAATCTAACGAATCTTTTTTGCCCAGGCTGCCCTTGTACTATGATCCTCCAGATTTCAGCTTGCCAACTAGCTAGGATTATTGGCATGAGCCATCTGTAACAAGCTATTTGTTTTGAAAATGCAGCTACTCTTACATAGAAAAAGATAGGTTTCCTATCTTAAAATATGCTTTTTTATTAATATCAAAATCAAATCCTGAAATTTTTCATAAGAATCAGATGCTTTTTTCAATAAAGACAGCCTACTTTTAAACAGTATTATTTTACATTAAGCCACTTCTCATGGAATATTGAAACTGCTTGATAAATGATAGGATTTCCTTCATTAGTTATGACACCAAGCAGTTAAGTAATTTAAACAGACTGGCTCAGAATTTCTTAAATTTTTTTTCATTTAAGAATATAGGCTGGGAATGTGGCTTAGTGGTAGAGTGCTTTCTTTGCATGCATGTAGCCCTGGGTTTGATTCCTTAGTACCACATATACAGAAAATGCTGGAAGTGGTACTGTGGCTCAAGTGGTAGAGTGCTAACCCTGAGCAAAAAGAAGCTCAGGGAGAGTACCCAGAGTTTTCAGTCTCTAGACTGGCAAAAAAAAAGAATATATTTATAAACAGGTTCAAACTCCAGATAGATTTTGATTGCTTAGTCTGAATTCAACTGAGAAAAACCAAAGTTGGGGACTTTTCTATGGAGGTCAACATCCTAATAGCTGTAGAACCTTGGTCAAATTGCTTAGCACACACTACATACAGACACAGACACACACACACACACACAAATTAGAGAATGGATTTGAAGATCTTCCTTCTTTCTTTCTTTCTTTTCTTTTTTTGTCGGTCGTGGGCCTTGAACTCTGGGCCTGAGCATTGTCCCTCAGCTCTTCAGCTTAAGGCGAGTGCTTTACCACTTGAGCCACAGTGCCACTTCTGGCTTTCTAGTGGTTTTTGAAGATAAGAGTCTCAGACTTTCCTGCCTAGGCTGGCTTAGAACCGTGATCCTCAGATCTCAGCCTCCTGAGTAGCTAGGATTACAGGCATGAGCCACTGGCACCCAGCAAAAATCTTCTTTATTTCTAATACCACATACAATACCGGATATCCCTCTGAGATTCATCTATTCACTAGAATTCACAGAATTCACTGAAAGCTAGGATATTCAAAGTTACAGTTTATTTAGCTAAACAGATTCAAATCAGATAAAAAAGAAGAAATGTAGGTTCCAGGAAAATTCCAAAAGCCCTTCTTCAAGTGTCTTCTCTCAGTGGAGTCTTTCCCATTGTTTCCCTAATGAAGACTTTGACCATGTGCTGGGATTAATTGTTGCTAACCAGGGAAAAAAGCATGAGCTCTGAGGTTCCCATTGACTACCAATATGACAGACTTCAGTCTTCAGCCTATACAGAGGTCGAGCTAAGATTGTGTGACTAAAAGTTTCACCATAACTTGTCCTGTGAGACATTCTGGAGTAGCATAATGCCTCCTGGTAAGTGGAAACCTATTTATTTGACAACATGGAGATTTCTTCCCAGGTGTGCTGGAAAGGCCTCCTCTTTTGGATCAAGGTTAAACTCTATTCTATGTTATACATTTGTGAGAATTAAATGATGGTACTTGTGTGGTACTTACTAAAGAACCTGAGTTTTATTAGCTACTACAGTTTACAAGGGCTTGGGTTTTCAGCTGAGTTGTTGACTGATGTCTTTCTCTACTTAGAATAGGTGGCTCATTTAGTAAGTGCTTGAAAGGAATTTCCCCAAGGGATGAACAAACTACTTTATATTCACCTACACACACAAAAAAGAAAAAAACACTCCAGACCCTGTTTCCTTTACTCAATGTTCCAGAATGCCTTCGTTAACTCGACAAGTAGATGTTGTGACTTGTCGTGTGCCCACAAAAGACCTGGCTCATCTAGTTTGGATGTGCCTTTTTATCTGGTTTGAATATCAGCATTACAAGAACACTACTAACAAACACCTCCAGCAATTCTGTTTATGGTGATCCATAAAAAGTAGAATACACAGCCTTTTACTATACAATATTTATAAATGTTGTAATATCCTCATTTTTATTTCAGTGGGTTTTTTTTGTTTTGTTTTGTTCTGTTTTGCTTTGTTTTTTTTGCCAGTCCTGGGACCTGAACTCTGGGCCTGGGCACTGTCCCTCAGCTCAAGGTTCAAAGTTAGGGCTCTACCACGAGAGCCACAATGCTACTTCCAGCTGTTTCTGCTTATGTGGTGCTGAGGAATCGAACTCAGGGCCTCTTGCATGCAAGGCATGCACTCTACCACTAAGCCACCTTCCCAGCCCCTTTATTTCAGTTTTTTTAAACATGATTTCTTTATTCATCAGGAATATCAGTGCTATCAGTGATAGAGGACTAGCAAGTTGGTCTATCCCATCCCATTCTTTCCCAAACCAAATCCCTAGTCTTATCAGAGAAATTCTCAGGTGTGTAAATACCACTTTGCAGGTTGCCTGCACATTACTTGGCTCCCCATCACTGATTCACAAGCAGAAGTTGAAAGCATACGCATACAAGATGTGCTCATGAGTGCTCAAGACTGAGAGTAGGATTTAGAGAAATTTACTTTTTCTTCCTGATTTTTCAATTAATGGTTTGAGATGAGAGTGAAGAAACTATTTGGGGCTTCAAATTCCTGATCTTTTGTATTAAAGATTGGGGTTTGATTGAGGCTGGGTGTTTCCAGAACTAGAATTTTAAAAGTATTTTTAACACTGAAAGAACTGGAAGCCTGGCCGGGCGCTGGTGGCTCACGCCTGTAATCCTAGCTACTCAGGAGGCTGAGATCTGAGGATCGCAGTTCAAAGCCAGCCCGGGCAGGAGAGACCATGAGACTCCTATCTCCAATAAACCACCAGAAAACCAGAAGTAGCGCTGTAGCTCAAGTGGTAGAGCACTTGCCTTGAGCTGAAGAGCTGAGAGACAGCGCCCAGGCCCAGAGTTCAAGCCCCACGACCGAAAAAAAACAAAAAAAAAAGAACTGGAAGCCTATTAACATTAGAGTATGCAACTAGGAGAGGAATATTAAGCAAATTCTAGAAAATAAAATATTTTCACATAAATTCAAATGAGAGTGGGAATAATCTGGTATCTTTCCCTTACAAGCCAATGATAAAAGTGATTAGCACTTATTTCTAATCTCCTTTAAGTAGTCACCATCTTTCTACTATGTAATACTATACTGATATTTAAAACACTTCTAATGTTTTACATGAAGGCAATGGAATGGCAATATGTACAAATGTGTAGTATGTTCACTCATTTTAACAGTAACAAGTAACAATTGCTTTAATTTAGCATTTTATAGCTTGAAGAATCTCAAAGCACTCTCTAAATAAATGATCAAATATCTTCTAAATAAAATAGCACATTCTATTGACTTTGTTAGGTTAAAATTCAAATAATTTTTTCATAATAAAGGTTTCCTGTGATGCCTCATTTTTCCTTCTAAGATTTGATAGGTGAACCAGTGCCAATGGTTCACACCTGTAATCCTAGCTGCTCAGGAGGCTGAGATCTGAGGATCAAGGTTCAAAACCAGCCCTGACAAGACAGTCTATGAGACTGTTATATCCAAGTAAGCACAGAAAACCAAAAATGGCGCTGTGGCTCAAGTGGTAGAGCACGTGCTTTGAGCTGAAGGCATAAGGCACAGTGCCCAGGCTCAGAGTTCAAGCCTACAACTGACCAAAACGAAAATAAAAAGACCTGATAGGTGAAAGAGTGAGAAATAGTCGCAGAGTCGTTGATGGATAAAACACATAGTTGCACCTACACTTAACTGGGTAAATGGTAAACCACTCTGCCTAATAATGTGGCAGGAAAAGTGCTGAGGAAGGATGAGAGGGAATTAGTTCATCAAGTGCCATTATTTGTTCAGTTGCACAAACAGGCAGAATGGCTCAAGTAGAACTCCAGACTCTAAATTGGAAATGAAGTCATTTTGGAGAAGAAACTCAACTGTAAATTGTTATTTGTAACAAATATTAATATTCTCTTATGCATGACTTACTGATAAAAATATTAGCTCTGTATTTTCTCTCCATTTCAACCTATCAATATTAATAGAAGACATTTTTACTCAATGTTTTTATTTGATAAGGTATTCTTCTAGAGTTTATTATCATTGCTGAAAGATTTCTTTAAAAAGTACTGTCAACTCCAAGAAAGAATTAGTATAAAAGAAGTTAGTGTCAGTTATTAGAGCATGCTATTTAATTCAGATTATAATCTTGCTGAACATTAATGATTTGCTCCTCCCTCTCTGGTTTTTCTTTTTTTCCAATTTAAATTCCAGGCACCTTCAAAGCAATAATCAACCTCCACAGCCTCCCGTTCCACCATTAGGTTACGTGTCCGGAACCTTGATTTCTGATTTAGAAACAGATGTTGCAGATGATGATGCTGATGATGAAGAAGAAGCTTTAGAAATCCCCAGACCCCTGAGAGCCCTAGACCACACTCCTGGATCCAGTATGGACAATCTAGACAGCTCTGTGACAGGTAACAAAACTGATTTACTAGAAATACCTGACCTATTTGCAACACTGAAATGTATCAAAAATCATACGCTTTTTTCATGTAAGAGTTATTCCACTCCATCTATTTCTGTAACAGTTTAAATATGTTAATGTTAAACACCAAATTCAAAAAGCATTTGGAAATACTTTGGCTTTGCTGCAAAAATGATAAGAAAATTCATGAATTTTAAAGAGCTTTAAAGACATGAAAGAAAACTCAATTATATCCAGGGCTTTTATGAAAAGTTCATTCTGCGAAGGAACCAAGTCTTTTACGTGGAAAAAAAAAACTTGACTTTTAGGGATGATATATTTTGTATATCAGAAGCAACATACAAAGTGAATACAATCTTAAAATGCCTCTTGATATTTCACTCTGTAAAACCACTCACTGATGAAAATAAGCAAGGCTTCAAAATATGCCTCTCCTGGTTGCAGTCTTATTTTTAGAATGGTAAAATGTATAGAGAGATAAACTATATGTTTATGTATTTCATTTTGCTGAATCCAATAATTATTCCTCTCCCAAGAAGTATAATTATTCTGTTTACTTTCAAGGCTTTCCCCCTGCCTGTACACCAAGTGAAAGACCTCAGTTTATATTCTCCTTATGATGATTCCAGCACTGATGCATAACCTATTTCCAAGGATTGAAATTGGAATGTTTTGAATCCAAGTATATACACAATGAATAGTGAAAAACAAAGCTTCCCTCTTTCTTTTCATTTCGTTCTTTTAGTTTCTTTCCTTTGGTTCTTTCACACATACACACAACACACACACACACACATACACACACACACACACACACACACACACACACACACACAAAGAGCCACTTGCATGATTATCAGGGCACAGGATCACAACTTGAGATTTGATCCCTGCATCCATATGTATATGTATATATATCACAGAAAGCATCCATATTTGCTTGAATGACATTTTTAATCTTGAAAGTATTTTATAACAGTGTTATCATTTATACAGTTCACTATTTTATGTTATTATTTATTTTTATATATTACATATATAAGTGTTTCATCTATTTTTACTCTAATACCTGCCCAATTTCCACAGATTTACTCCCTATTTGTTAGCTTTGCAAACACCAATGGAAACTGATGGGGTAGGATAGAGTGCAGAAAACATTAGTACTTGTAATTTCCCCCTCCTCCATTCCTGGATTACCCAGTGGGTGATGTCCAAGTCTACACTTTTCTTTGTCTTCTTATATGAGTGCCAGTTTGCTTGGTAGGATAATTAAGACTTAAAACATAGATACACTGCTGTGATTTGAAACCCACATTTAAATGAAGGTGACAGAGCAAAGTTAAAATCTTTGAATACAGAGAGATGACTTATTAGTGCACTATTATGTTAAGCCTCTTTGCCTTGAATTTCTAGCCTAATCTCCTTTAGGGTAAAATTCTACATATTTTTGCATATTTCACTAATGATATTGAACTATTTTCCATCAGGAATATGGTAAAACTGCAAGAATAATGAAAAAAGTCAGCAATAACATATAAATTTTTATTAAATAAGATAATGGCAAGGATGAAAACTATTTCTATAAATTAGGATACCATTTTACACTTTTCCAAAAACACACCTGTTAGGAACAAGTTGGTCCGTCTTATGTTACAGTAATTGGAGCAATCTGTACTTTTCTAACTAGTGTAATGTTCATTCCGATGAAGTTTTTATTGCTAAAAAAACAAAATCCATTTCTCTGTTTGAACTCATTGCTTAATTAAGACCTTATATGGAAATCTCAGTGTTTAGGTATGTATTTTGCAATAAATTTGTCCTCTAAATTTAACATTCCCTTAGTAGAACTTGTACTTTACACTTAGCTAGCCAAGTGAGTTTTGAGGGAAAAATATTTGATCCAAGCTTTGTTTTTTTAATGTGTATATGTTAGGGAGAGTGAGTCAGTATATATATTTGTATATGTATGTATACATACATGTGGTTCTATATAGGAGGTGTGTGAGCACATGTGGATTTTAGTGCATGAAATTATAAGTGCATACATTTTGGTGAGAATGGTGATAAATGATTGAGTATAGGTAGTGTGTATGGGGATGTGAACAGATAGTGTGTGTGCATGTGTAATATGTACATGTCTATGTGTGTGTGCCCCAGAGGTAGAGATATGTGTGTATATACAAATACATATTGAACCACTTTTATAACAATCATGTTAGGAAATATTATCCTAATTTGCCTATGTATTCTTCATGTACTTCAGGCTAGTTTAATGATGTTAAATGAGGTAAGTAATAAAACAAGAATGAGATAATTGTGGTTGTACACACGTGTAGTCTCAGTACTTGGAATCCTAATGTAAGAGGATTGACAATTTGAGAATATCTTGATCTACCTAACAAGACTTTAAAAAGAAAAAAATGCAAAATAAAATCAGAGCAATGACAAAAAGAACCACTTGGTTCTAATCTCATCATTTGAATTAGATGTTTTTAAGTCAGTTATAATGGTAGAGAAATAATTCTGTTCTGCTTTATCCACAATTCTAAATTTGTTGGTAATGTGAGTAAATTAGTCATTACTTATAACATAGATTACCTGATAGATGTATTCACTATCATTACTCTGATGCCTTTTTTTTTTTTTTGTCGTTCATGGGGCCTGAACTCTGGGCCTGGGCACTATCCCTCAGCTGTTCAGCTCAAGGCTAATGCTCTACCACTTGAGCCATAGCACTACTTCTGGCTTTTTTGCTATGTGGTGCTGAGGAATTGAACCCAGAGCCTCATACATGCAAGGCAAGCATCCTACCACTGAGCCACCTTCCAGCCCCAGATGATGCCCATTTTTATTAACAGAACTAATACATAGGTTTCCTTTCCTGAATCTGATACCAACTATAACAGATAGCTAAAGACAACCAAGCTGATGAGCTTCTATGTAAAATCAGTTAAGATTTTACTTGAATACATTGTACTCTACAAATGACACATTAGGAAATGTAAGTAGTTAATCAATTATAGAGTCCTTTTTTGTTAAGAAATATGCTAATTGGTTCTGCATATTTTTATGACAGCTAAGGAACTGATGAGAGATTTCTTAAATTTTTAAATGATCATTCATAAAAGAAAAAGCTAAAAAATGATAATACTAGTAGTTCCAAAATTCAGGACCTCATTAGTGAAAAGTAGTTGCAAATTTCTTGATTTATGTATTTAGTGTAACGTATGCCTGTTACATTTAACCACTGATAAATAAGTTCAACTCAATGACAATAACACAATGGCCTTTAGGAAAAGTGAGGCATCCTTCTAAGCAGTGGTCTGATGTGTTTGTTTGTTTGCTTTTGGTTATTATTCTTTAGTTTTGCTTCATTTTTTGTGGCACAGTAATATAAGATTTTTTTTTTACATTTTTAAAGGGGAGGAGAGACCAAGAGAGATTGAGAGTGGGAAGGAAAGGAGAAGAGGGATTCAGAATTAAAGACAGCATGAAGGACAAAATCAAAAATATTAATTTCTATTGTTTTATATAATTTTGTTTCTAAAGGTTTAAAATGCATAGTAAAGAACTCTATTATGAACATTTTGTACATAAATTGAGTCATTGAGGAATTTTAATCCTTGTTCAAGGTCACCTGCTTGATAAGTATGAGAAGAATGTACAAAATCAATTAATCTTACTGTAAAGGTAAATGAATATGATCCCTGCTTGGGAAATGCTCAACTTCTTCTAATCTGTATAATTTGCATATTTTACAAGAAAATACTATTCTCTCCTGTTACTTAATATGTGATTCTCATTTCTCTCTGTTATATGCATGTGTAGAAATGAATAAAAATGAAAAAAGTATACACTTTTAAAAATACAGCTTGTAATGTTATTACTGGAACATCAACACTAGAACATTACTACATACTTAATGAAGATCAGAACATGAAATATTAGAAGTAGCTTTTATTTACTTTCCTCATATTTAGTTTGAATATTTTATTCATTTTCCTCATATTTCTCTGTTTATTTCTAGTAACCTAACAAAATTAAACTAGATCAGCTATTTTGTAAGGAAATCCATTTGTACAAGTTTTATTTTTAATTTCTTTTGGAAGTACTGAGCCTAGATCTCCCAATATTCATTCTTATTATGCAAGCCCTTTATTATATTAGCCATGACTCTTAGTCCTTTTTTGTTTTAGTTATTCCAAAGAAAGCTTTTAGATTTTTTTTTTACCAAGCCTGGCCTCAGACTGCCATCTGTCTACCTATGCCTCTGTATGAGCTAGAATTACAGACAAACATAGCCAACCTTAGCTGGTTGGCTGAGATGGGATTTTGGTAACATTATGCCAGAGCTATCCTTGAAATCCAAAGTTCCTTTTCCCTACCTCTCTGGAAGCAATATTTCTTCCTCATTGCTCAACCTAGTATGACCCAGTAAGAGGGAGAGTAAAGTCTTCAATACTTCCTTCTGTAACTTCAGTGGTGGGAGGCATAGGTAAGTGCTTCCTGACTTTAATGACAGGATCATGAAAAAGAAACAGAAAGCAGCAGAGGAGAAGGAAGGAAAAATATATCCTGCAAGTGTAGCCAAGATTCTAACTGCCTGAGCGAACACAAAACGTAGTGTTATTAAGTAAATCAGTAAAAGTTGTCTGGATGGTTGGACCACACACAAGCTGTAGAAAGCAACTTTTGGCTGCACATATTCTGTGTGTTCAGAGGTTTTCACTAGAACCCTCATACTGCATCACTTTGAAAACAATAAAACCTAGCAACCTCATTATTTGACTTGACCACACAGATTTCACAGCAATGGCCACAACAATTTTAACCTGAAACGGTGCCTCTGGTGCAGAAAATTTAAAAACATAATAATAATAATCTTAATATGAAGAGAAATTTCACAGATAATACTAAAAATAATGATATTATTTTCTTAGATATCTTCCACAGGCTGGATGCCTTTAAAAGTAAATTATTACTTCACAA